TTACATAGGGTTTATAGGACATCAAATTATAAAACCCGCATATATGCGGGTTCTTAATCTAGTAGATATATAAAAAGAAACACCAAAGAGAAAAACATATAAGACAGTATCAAATCAATCAATTATTCCCGTTCGAAACTTGGTAAGAACCATCGCGCATTAGAGCATGGAACATACGAGCAACCAAATTGGTGTGGTTGTTCAATCATCTTTGTATCAAGATTAAATATGAAGCTATCATTTTCATCATATTGATCTTCAAAATCAGTGCCATTGAAGTAGATCGAGTTTCTCTTAATACTTCAGTGTCCTTGGTGAGTACTGTGATACCCAAATCCAAAAGAATTGCCTCGTCTCCCAAAGAAAAAATCTCCATCCACTTGTTCCCTTTCGGTGAATCCATCTTGTAGATTTCAAAGTTCCATATTTTGGACATACTCCAACGTATGCAGTTAACAATTAAGACATGTCCACTTACCGTAACAACTACGTTATTCTTCATACGAGTCCAAGAGAAATTATGTGGAACTCTTCCAGGATACATCAATAATGGTTTTATGCATCCAGGTAGGCTAATTCCGAAAACTTTCACCGGAACTTCTCCAGAAAAATCGAAAATCTTGAGCTTACAATAGTTGAGACAATAAAGCTTATGATCCTTGTATATCATGTTAAAACACTCTTCGATACGTGACAACTGCGGAATTTGTTTCCACGAGTTATCTCCTTTCTTGTGAGAAACCGCACTATCTTCGCCAAAACACCGGAGACTTGAGCCCAAATTCTGATTCCAAAATCGGTAGGTTGATCCTCTCGCGGGTTGGAAGATCTAAAATATAAAAATTGTGTTGAAAGTCGTCAGTATAGAGAGGGTCTAGCATCAAAAGCCAGCTTCTATAAGTTGCCACGCAAAAACACCGGGAAAAGTCTTTGCCAAGGTCTTGAGTTTTGTAAACTCTGTCTTTTTCTTCAGGATTGAACAAGAGACCATAATTCTTGTCCTTGGCGAATAGAATCATCCAAGGGATTTGGTTGTTTGGTTTCGATTGTCTCGAAGCGGATTGCCAAGATGAACAAACGGATTTACCTTGTTCGAAATCGGCGAAGCCAAGGTGTTCAAAAACCAATCGCATGATATCTAGAGGAAGCTTGGAACAGCAATGAGGATTTCTTGTCCGACCTGATCAAGTGGCGGAGACGGTAGGAGATTTCGGAGCCGGTGGGGAGGCCACCGGACGGAATCAAGTGTGGGAGAAATATATCTTTTTCATTTTTACTATCTCATAAATAGTTTATAAAGTGATAACTCTTTTGACCTACTAGAGATATTTGCATATGCATGTCCATAATAAATATGTATATAGTGATAGTAGAATATTTGTTTTTTTTTAACAAGATCTTTCTGTTTTACAAAAACAAGATTTAACAATTTTTCTAGGCTAATATATATATTGTATGTTGCGATGTTACTTCCATGATCTCTGTTGTTTTTTTTTTGGAATTATCAGGAGATTCGGGGTTGAAACCCGAAACCAGAGCATGATCTCTGTTTTTGCTTGATTTGTGCTTCAATTAGCCCTTAAATCAGTATGGGTCCGGTACCATATCACAAAAACACGATACTTTTTTTTTTTTTGCAAGAATAGAATTCGAAGAAGAAGAAAAAAGGGTATTTTACATTACAACAACAATAACTTAAATAGATTTCAAACAAAACGAAACTTAGGTATTGTAACTCTTATTTCTTGTGACTCAGTCAGACATAAAACTACCCTTTACTAAGTAAATAAGTAACGACCTTTAGCACAAATGAACTTAACATACACGTTAGTTATTACTAAACTCAACTATCGACTAACATTTTCTTTGCTTATATATAAAGCACTTAGCTAACTAATCAACGCTAAGTGTTTAACTTCACATGATTACACATTGCCCAAGAATATCAAATCTATTCTTCAATTTGATGAATTGTATTTGTCATGCTCTTCTCACGCTCCTTGTGTGCTTTTGGTCATTCGAGAGGAAGCTTCCTCTTGTGCTTCCCAAAGTTTCGTTTATTTTGTTGTCAAGCCCATTAGCATTACTGAGTGAATCCTCTAGTTTGAGAAAGAATTCATTAGTCTTCAATAGCTTAATACCCGGTTTAACTTTAATGCCACATTACCTAATTTCTCGTATATGTCGTTTTTATAACTCAACCACCTCTCTCATCTCCATCTCTTTCTCCGTGTTTCATTCCTTAACCGCCGTTCTTGAACATATGAAATTCGGGTTTTGCTTCGGGCCACCAAGTCGCTGACTTGAATTTAAGAGGGAACTTCTCGAGCATTATGCCGATAAATGAGAGGAAGTGGGTAAGCGCTGTCTGAACAGAGCATTCTCTCTCTCTATCACTTCCTCCACGTCTTCTTTGCTGACTCCGCCATCGCTTTTATCTCTAAGAACCATCTCAATTCTGTTTCTCAGCTGCTTGAACAGCCTTGTGGCGTTGGTCTGATCTTCCACAAGTTACGACGGCTGAATCTTTGACTTTTCTTCTCTGGTTTTGTTGGTTTGTTCTGTTTTTTGAAACTAAGGAAAGTAACATCTAATGACCAATTCGTAGTTGATGAGTTCTCCTGTGACGGTTTGGTCTAACCATTAAAATCAATAAAATCTCAACTTCCCAAAATGGGGCTATAGGTTCCTTTAATCTACTATTCGTCATTTAAATAGTCGCGGATTGTTTCCAAGGGTCGTTTTAGGCCATGTCAAGTCGATCATCGCATAGAGAGCGAGATGGGGAACTTGGTTATACCAC